GGACCAGGCTAGTGGGAAACTGCCTATAACAACTCCTGAGTCTGGTGACTTGAATAATATGTTCTTTGTGTCTCACTATTCCTCAGTCACTGCCTCCTGGAGTCTACAAGGTTGAGTAAGCCAGTAAGCAGCATCCCCCACCATGGCCTTTGCTTCAGTTTCTGCTAACTCCAGGTTCCTGCCTTGAGTTCTTGCTCTAAGATGAAATCAACCCTTTCCTCTGAGTTGCTTTGGTTGGGTTTTATCACAGCAGTAGAAACCTTAACTGAGGCAGAAATTCATACCGGGTCATGGGGTATTGCTGCGACAGAACATAGGACTGTGGTGGCATTTTGGCTTTGGACTGGAAAAGCCATAGGAGTGCTCAGGCCTGAGTGGGCTGTTCACCAGGAGCTTGGAAGAGAGTGGTACAGATGACAGAGGTCCGGCCTGTGAAGTCTCAGAAGGAAGTACGAGAGTTCCTTAAGGACTGTTGGGACCACTTGATATTTTGAGTGAAGACTCGATGGTTCTGGTTAGCTGTGGACCACTAAAGTGAAACCTTTTCTTTGCTGGGACAATCAATGGTGGTTAGCAGGAGCTGAGAAATTAGTGGTGATTAAGAAGAGACCAGCATCACTGAAGCAAAGTCTTTTGGAAAGTGTTCCCTCAGGGCCGTCTTACAGAAACTGCATCCAGAGGGGCCAAAGCTGTGTACCTTGCTGGAAGCCGAGCTTGGTGTGTGTAAGTTTCCCACGTGGTGCTGGTTTTGAAGGCATAAAGGGACCATGGAGAACAATTGAGACTTGGCACTGTTTGGGCAGGACTTGAGTCCCTGAAAGGAGTCTGGAAGAGGCCACTGGTGAAGGCTCAGCTTCGGCTGTAGCACAAGTGCCAGGGATGTAGAGATCATGGAGAGGGGCTGAGGTTAGCATTGTGTGTCAGGGTCAGAGTGCCCGTAGAGAGCTCAGAAGAGGCTGTGGTGAGGGTGCAGCCAAGAGGCTGGGGGATACCAATGCTTTGGAGATGCCAATACTATACATGGTTTGACCATCAAGGATAGCAGCAGTCAAAAAGTTGTGCTTGCCTGAACCCTAGGGAGCACTTTCTGTCCTGTGGCAAGCCCATTGGAGCCCAAAAGAGTGTGAGTAAGTCCAGAATTCGGACAATGACCTTTTCATAGTTGATCTTTGATTTTGCAATTGGTCTGATTGTGACTATGCTCTGGTAAGAAAGGGTTTAACTTATTTATTTTTTTTTTATAGAAGCTCATATTTGAGAGTTGTTGGAATTTTAGAAAGATAGAACTCTTTAAAAAAATTACTTATTTTTCTTATTTTACCTATCGATCCCAGTTTCCTCTCCCTCCCTCCGTCTTTCCCACTTTCTCTTGCCCCCCCCATCCTCCCATCCCATCCCCCCCGACTCCACAGTTAGGTTGATGCCTTCCAGGAGGGATCAACAAAACCTGTCAAGTCATTTGGAGTAGGGACTCTCCTGTCTCTAGGTTAAAGGAGTATCCCTCCATGGGGAATGTGCTTCCAAGAGTTTTAACTCTTAAGAGTGTTTGATTTTTTTTCCCCACTGTTCAAGGTGTATTTGGTGTTTTCATAAGCATAACACGTGGGTAGTTGGTTGCATCATCCATATGTAGATCTTACTTCTTATACACTATTTTAATGTATACTACAGACACATTATACACAAAATAATAATATCCTTTAGAAGAGTTATGCACAAGATATGCATAATGGATTTACACACTGGAGCCAGGTTGTGACTAATTGGGAATTCATTGGCCTAGGCATGTTTGGTGAGGGTTCATAGCACAGACACAGGCTCACAGGTAATTGAAGCCTGCACACAATTGGCAGTGTGTCTTGGAGACAGTGGGGTTGTCACACCAACCAGGTCACTACTACACAAGTACTGAAAGACCCCCACTATGCTTATTGCCTGTTTGAATTGCTCTTGCTAATTTGCCAAGGTCAAGTTATGGGAAAAGTACAGGAGGGAACCAGGTGCTGCTCTCATCCAACACCAACCAGATATCTGTGGTCTTCAGCTTGGACCAAAGCAAGGTCAGCAGGAACAGAAGGTCCTGGGATATCTATCGAGACCACCAGAGTGCTGAGATAGTCATAACTGAATTCTTTGTATTCTTTGTGCCCAGCCCGAATAACCAACTGTCCTTGGTTAACTACAACTGCTACATTTAGATGAAACAATGAAATCCCTGTAACCATGCTTCTGCTTCTGTAAGCCTGCTTCTTGCCACCCCAACCCTATATAAACTGCTTGAGGTTTAACCTCGGCACGCTCAGTCCCCCGAAAGACTGAAGCGTCCACAGGTACCTGTGTAAGCAATAAATAACCTCTTGCACTTGCATCCAGTGGTCTGATCTCGTCTCTTGGGGGCAAGGGCCTTCCCCCTTAACAGGCTCCAAACTCTTGGGGTCTGCTGGGGTCTTTCAGTACCACTTAGCAGCAGGGTAGAGCTGTGAGAACTGAGGTTTTCTCCAGGCCACCTTAACACAACCACACTATCCACAGTTCAGATGAGTAGATGTGTGTGGTCTCCATAGGAACCCTGCTGCAGCTTGGACAGTGAAGTACTAGGACATCTGAGGACTTTAGATGTGCAGCTCTTTCTGGATCCCCCAGAGCATACCTGCCCTCTTCTTTAAGCAGGCCTCCTCTTCAGGAATTAGAGTCACCTTCACAACATCTGAGATTCCATTTTGTCCCAGGACACAAGGGACACTAAGGAAGACGTCATCCTTGATTCCATAGAGACCCTTAATCATGGTAGAAATGGGATGCACCCGCCTCAGGTTCTTCATTATGCTCTCATCCAAGTTGGCCCCTGACAGGCCAATGGCCCAGGATGTGTAACCTTTCGGTTTGATCACTTCATAGGCACTGGCAACCACCTGCTTGTGAACCTCCTTCCACTGCTTCCGTCCTTCAGTGATGGATTTATAAGGTGTGGAGTGAAAGAACCCTTTCTTGTGTGTGCTGGTGTCCTCAGAACCCCAGTCTCCTGGGACTGGAGTTATAGATGGTTGTGAGTCACCATGTGGATGCCACAAATCAAATGTAGGTCCTTTGCCAGAGCAACAGTGTTCTTAACCATTGAGCCATGTCTCCAGACCTTGGTCGTGGTGTTTTACCACAGCAATATAAACCTTGTGTATGACACTCCGGATCCCCAGCCTGAGATGTAGACTGGAGTCATTTATGTCCTTACATACCCTCTTTCCATGCCCAACTCTTAAACATCTCTCCCATCTGCTGCTTCATTTTTGGTGTGGTAACACGTGTGTGTGTGTGTGTGTGTGTGTGTGTGTGTGTGTGTGTGTGAACATCTATGCCTGGGTATTTATCCACTCCCAGCTTCCTCATGGATACTTTGGAAGGATAGTAATCAATCATCTGAATCCCATCCTCAGCTGTCCAAGAACACTCAGTTCTGTGATGTGAGGTCCTGCTCTGGTATCGCTCTGGCCATCTCAGTGGGCTCTCACCAGCCTCTAAAACCTCAAGAGATGGGAGGAACATCGATGTAGAAGCAGAGCCACTTTATTTAATGATGTATACAGAATATTCATCAAGCCTGAGAGAGGGGGAGAGCAGGTTTCTTAAGAAGATGGCCATGCTATTTTCCAGGACATGGGCCCCCTTCTGTGAGCCATGGGAAGCTGGGCAGGAGGAAGTGGACAGAGCAGCAAGAAATGGATCTGTTGGGAGAAGAGTTCAACCAGGGGGGAGACTGGAGGTCAGGGATGCTCACGGGTACTGTTCCATCATCAGCTGGCACTCTGAGGGACAGGAGTGTGCTGAGACCCAAGGTGATGTCTCTATAGCTTCTTGTGCATGTGTATTAGTGTGTGTGTCTGTGTACTCACAGGGACTTGGCTAGTGAGTCTGTGTATGTGTACCCATGTGGATGAATTGACTACCATGTCTATGTGCTTCAGTGTGTACCCATGATCACATATGCTTCTCTTTGAAGCTGTATTGCTGAGGTTCTGGTCCCTTACCACATCTGTCATGTTATTCTACAGACTTCATGCATCTCTGTGTGTCTACGCCCATGTTTGTCTCTTTCCTGGGGTATTGCTATAGCTTACATCTAACATCATCCCCCAAAGCCCACATGTTAAAGGCTCAGTGCCCAGAGTGGTGCTGCTGGGAGAGCTGCTGTGGATATTGCTGTCTTGAGAGCCTTGCTTCCCTGTCCTAGAGGGTGACAGCTAGTCCACAAATCCTGGGAAATGGGAACAGCATTTACCATCTCAGCAGAGGCAGGTTCTTTCTTAGAAGGCTTAGGCCTTAATGACAAACTGTACTCCATGCAGCAGCAAGTCTAGAAAACAATGACTGAAGTTATGAACCTGAGAGCTTCCTGAGGCTCTGGAGCACCAGACATGCTCACCATGCCCAGACATGTTGGGAAGCACTAGGTCTTCACCCCCAAACAGCCCAGCTGGTCTTAGGTCAGGCTGAGGAGGAAGCAGACTTCATCTCAAACTTGCCTGGATCATTCATGGGAACAAAGACATCCCCCCACCCCAATAAGAAGTGTGTGGCTAAAGAGACCTGGCTACCCCATGGTGTATAGGAACAAAACTTGGAAACAGTACTTACCAGCAACATTGTGCACCAGGGTGACATCCAAACGGCTGAGAATCCCATTGACCAGAGGGCATACCTGACCCAGGGCAGAGAGAGGAGTTAGACACAGGACCTCCTGCAAGAAGACCCTCAGAGAAGCAGCTTGCCCCAGGTGGAATACATTCAGGAATATTTTCTACAGCCAGAAGAAGCCAACAAATGTGTTTGGAGAGGTGGAAAGAAGTAACACAGATGGCTGGACCACAGGACAAATGAGCTGATAGATAATTCCCATACAGAGTATCACAATTTAGCTCAGCTTGATACAGAACCACAGGACAGATGGACTGATGGATAGATGGTTCCCATACAGCGTAGCTCAATTTAGCTCAGCCTGAGAAGCTCTAAGAGCCCTGGAGCAGGGGACTGTCCCTTTGATCTCTTACCACACCCTGCACCAGGCCAGGAATGACTCTAGTCAAGATGTCTGTGAGGCTGTCTATCAGGCTTTGAAGGGGACTGAGTCTGGAAGAAAAAGGCAAGCACGTGACCTAGAGGCTTGCGGTTGCTCTGGAGAAGTTCAGCAGCCACTATGCACACCCAGTCTTAGCATCTACTAACTGAGACCAGGCCTTGCATACTCAAGTCCATGGCAGATTTAACACCAAGGATCCTAGATGAGGAGAGTTACACACAGCCCAGTCATGCACACACAGACGAGTGCATAATAAACACATGCTTCAGGGACATAGTAGGTGCACAAGACTGTGGAATCCATGAATGCATGAAAAGTACTTAGTTTGTAGTTGTTATGGAGATTCAATGAAATAATACATGCAAAGCCCAATATATATAATAATCAAATGTGAGCCATGGTGTGGCCAGGTCCTACACACTATGAATAACTGGGCCTTCCCATGTGTCAGGCAACTGGAACAATCATGCAAATAGATGATTTAATAATCTCACATAGTTTTGTATTGTAGATAAGCAAAGTGAGATCAAATTGGAGGAACCCTGGCCAAGTTCATGTCACAGGCTCTCCAGTTCTCTTGATCAAGTTATAAAAGGTGGTCTTAAATAATATTCTATATTGCCTATCCAAGGTAAAATTGGTCATCTTGGTTTAATAAGGGGTAAGTGAGCATTTGTTCATCCATTTACTCGTCTATTTGTATACCTGCCTATATATCTGTCTCCCTACCCACCAAATGTCTTACCATCCATCCATCTATTTATCCACTCATCCACTACCCACCCATCCAACCATCCACCCACTTCACAATCCATCCTCCACCCACCCATCCACACTTCCTCCCCCAATACATCTTTCCTCCTGTCCTGTTATTCATTCATCTTTTCTTTGCTCATCATTTTACCCTACTATCTCTGGGCAGGATAGACCAGCCTTTACCCATTAATCAGGGAGATGTGCAAGCTGCCAGGAGGGTGAATGCAGTCACCAATGACCAGACGGCTCCTCCCATGAATGTCTCTCACACCGTAGACTTCTGCAGTAACATCCATCTTCACAGCCAGCTCCACCAGACTTCCAACCATGAGTCTGGCAGAGAAGGCAGAAACAGCTCTAATGGCATCTGGCCTTTCCCATCCCAAGGTGGAGGCTTTCTTCTTGGCAGGAGTGCCAACCTCACCTTACTCCATTCTGTCACTGGGAACTGATCTCTGTTCCCATTGGGAAAACCAAGGTTCAGAGAGGTTGTTTCTCTTCCACATGACCCGAGTTTGTTCAGCACATCAAGTAGGCAAGGTTCAAGGCTCAGGTCTTTGTGTCTAACCATAGCCACCAGGCTGTCCCTTCGTGAGCCATCCTCCCACCACCACCGGCCTTGGGACCTACTCACGTGTTCACTTTGAGTTCAAAGCCCAGAGGGATGGTGACATAGAGGTGGTGAAAGTCATAGCTCTGCGTGAGACCGATCTCCAGCAGCTGTGGATTAGTGACTTTTATGCTGCTCAGGGAGAAACATTAGCATGTTAAGCCTCAAACCAGGGAGCCACCTTTAACTAAATTTACTCATCACAGAGGGAGAGCTGGCCACCTGGGATCAGGATGGTCTTGGAATCAGAACAACCCTGGGTTCTGAGCCACGCCCTTATCTTTTTCAACTTCCTTCTGGATCAGATCCTGACATACCCCATCCTCTGTTTACCTAAAGCTTAGAAGATATTTGAGGAAAGGGACTGGGTATGTTAGTTTGGAGCCCTTCAAAGAAAGATGGTGATTTTTAACTTGGCAGGAAGATGAGTCATTGGCTCTGGGGGAGGGTGGATGGATGAGGGAGTGGTTCCATGAAAGGATGGAAGAATGGATTCGTGGATGGATAGATACACTGTCAATGGAAAAGACACAACCTGTCATGTCCTTTAAGAGGCAGAAAGTTGGGAGAATTCAGAAAGGGTGGGAGGAAGCCTTCCCTGAGCGGTTCATGGTGCCAGGTATTTATCCTCCCTGTTGTGGCTTCATGCCTAGGAAACTCTCAAGTGGCTGGGGCTCAGGGTGTGCCTTAGGACTGGGGGCAGCTATAAGTCAAAATGCCACTGTTGCTGGTAAAGTGGAAAGAGGCCTGGGGCTGAGTTTTGGCTCCATGCTCAGCCCACCCCTCCCTCCTCTCCCGGGCTGCTGCCCCAGACCCACAGATCTTCTGTTAGTGGTAACCAAATCCCTCTTTGGGGTAACTCACTCCAGGATGTTGTTCAGGAGAGGAATTGATGAAATCACTTTTCCAAGCACCCCGACCAGACCACGAGCATTGCTTCCTGCAGGTCTCACGTAGCTCAGGAGAGGCATGCGTTCCAGAAATCCCAGAATCCCCCCGGACAACAGGCCTTGTCTGAAGCCTGTGAAGTGGAGAGTCTCAGGGTTCTCATCTGCTAACTCTAGAGCAGCAGTTTTCAGCCTGTGGGTTGCAACCCCTTGGGGGTTAAGCAACCCTTTCCCAGGGGTCTGCTAAGACCATCTGAAAGCACAGATATTTACATCATGATTAATGATGGTAACAAAATTACTACTATGAAGTAGCAGTGAGAATAATTGTATGTTTGGGCATCACCATAACATGAGGAACAACATTAAAAAACACGGATGCAGTAGGGAGGTTGAGATTCATTGTTCTAGAGCCTTAGACCTTCTTTCTCACTGACAATTGCCTTCCTATTGGGAAGTTGCATAGAACACACGTGCAAACACACACACACACACACACACACACACACACACACACACACACCCTTGAAAGAGACTGTCACAGACTCACTTACCATCTCTGAAGTTTCTAGCAAGCTGTTCTGTAGGATATGTGGATATGACTGGAGTCATCCCATAGGGCAGGCTCTGGCCCAGGTGCAAGGGCCGGCAGTGACCCATGGACATGGGCAGGCCCTGGTCCAGGGGCAAGGGCAGGCCCTGGTCCAGGGGCAAGGGCAGGCCTGCCAGCTGGGCTGAGCTCTGGGCCAGCAGCCCACAGAGGACAACCAGGCTCCCAACTAGAAACATCTCTAGGTATCTGCAGAAAAAGTGACAAGTCTGCTGTGGTGTGCACAGCTAGGGTTCTCTCACTGCCTGCCCTGCCCAGGGTGGTGGGGTTTCTTCCCTCCCCTGAATCCCAGCAGGTGATAACTAGCAACAATTGCTAACAGTGCCATAGAGTAGTCTGTCCCATGCCACAGGCTGATACACTCAGTCACCAACTTCATTGTCACCACATCCTCAGACGTGGGCATGGACAACCCCTGTTTCACAGTTGGAGCAGAGGCCTAGTCACTCAAGGCAGTCTCCTACAAGGTGACAAGTTGCAGCAGCAAGAGGAGCTGAAGTCAAGCATGCCTGACCCAGAAGCTTCTGTAGAGTTAAGTGGCTGTCAGATTTAGTCTGGGGCCGGGAATGTGACTGGGGGGCCTGACCCATTATTCTCACCCCGCTCTTCAGTGTGGATGGCAGAGGCTGAGGTTCTGGACTGCTTGGCCATCACCTCTGCTAAAGGATGGTTCTTGGGTCTGTGTTCAGGCCATGATGGTGTGTGGATACCATCAAGAACTACAGGTCACATGACCAGAGACAGCATCTCAATTGTGATGGTAACCTCAAGTTGAAATTTCTTCCCTAGAACATTCACTTAGGGCATGTGGAGAGCTCACTGCTCATCAATGGTGTCCTCTCTTGGAAAGGTGAGTGAATGGCTGGTCCAGGCCTCTGATAAGGCTAGTACTGCCTTTTTGTTGTTGTTAAATCCCCAGGGAGTGACAGCAGAATTTGGCAGCAGTGAGGGGCATGGCCTTCTACTACCCATAGCATCGGTGGAGCAGAGGAAGGGGCAGGTCTCACCTGAGTCTCCTGTTCTCCAGCTGTCCTGGGCTCCTCTCCTTTCTGCTTCTGCTGAGCAGCTGACCACCTCTTTTATAGATCAGGATTCAGGAAACATGAGATTAGATGATGTGCTTCTAGGTAATTCCAGATTCTGCAATCTGGCAGTGTCTTTCAGGGTTCTGCAAAGTAAATAGTTACCAATCACTCCATCAGATGAGTCAGATATTTGGTTCACAAGTTGAACAAGACAGCTTGAGATGGAAGGTTATTAAAGACTTCATGGTCCCATGAATGTGGCTTAAGTTAGAGATCCATGCTCATGAGTGGCAGGAAGATCAGGCTTGGCATGGAGAGGAGCAGCCAGAGTAGTCTCATCAGGAACTTCATTCCTAGCTCTCAGTCCATATCCTTTCTTGGTCTTGTTCTTTTCCCCTACTTGGTCATTGGTTGGTCACACACTATATGTGGCCTTCCCAGCTCTGAACTATCTCTTAATTCTGTGCACATGTGTATGTAGGTATGTGGGCAGGCACATGTACATGCTGTTTTCTAAGTTCCTCGTGAATGATGGTTAGGTGCCTATGGGTCCTCACAAGATTTCTGGTAGGGATGCTGCTTGTTCCTAGAGGAGAAAACTGAGATCCTATTAGTACATGTGACCAGAGAGGTCCGGGCAGAGTTAGAAGTCAACTCACTGGACATTAATGACATCCAAGCGATGCCAGAATTGCATACTTCCCAGGTCCTTAGAGCCCCACCTTGGAGATGAGCTTTTACAGTGAGAACTGGCTGGACTGTGAGGGGACAGGACAGAGAGACATCCACACTCGGTCTGAGAGATTAAGAAGGCCTCTAAGTCACTTGCCCTTTGCTTTCCCACATCATGCTTCCCACTTCTAATAAAGATTTATTTAGATTGGAGAGAGAGCTTACTGGTTAGGAGTGTTTACCGTTCTTGCAGAGGACCCAGATTTGGATCCTGGCATCCATCCTCTAACTCTAGTCCAGTGGATCTTATGCCCCACGCTTTTCTTCCAGCACATGCACACATGTGATGCACATAATCACACGAGTATGCGTGTTTGTAAATTATGTTATTTATGCATGTATTTATACAAGTCTGTGCATATGTGTCTGTGTGCATGTATGCACACATGTGTGTTTAAGCACCCACAGAAACCAGAAGAGGGCATCAAAGTGCTCAGAGATGAAGTTACAGAGGTTTGAGGGCTTCTCCACATGGGTGCTGGGACCAGCTTGTAGAAGTGAGCAGCAAGCACTCATAACTGAGCCACTCTCCCAGAGTGAGAGGCTCATCAGCGATCACCATATACAAAGAGATCCTAGACAAAAGTAGGGCTGTTCTGCTTGTCTGCTGCCTCCAGTTTTCTTCTTTAGCTTTCTAAGGTAACTGAAGACCAGTGGCAGTCTTGGAATCCTCCTGTTCTTTCATGCCAGATTAGACCGGAGGAGGCATTTAGTCTTGTGGACTGAGCTGGTACAGGGTCCCCAGTCTCTCTGGTGTGCAGAGGTCTGTTTAAGGACTACTCAGCCCATGCCATGTAAGTCAATCTGATAAATCCCCTTCATAACACATCATCTCATGCTATTGGTTTTGTTCCTTTAGTGAATCTGGACTAATACACCAGCTCTCCTCTCCCAAGCCTAGTTCACAGGAGCTGTCTGCTTAGGTTTTGTTTTGCATTGTCCCCCAATATCTGACCTCATGAGTGTACAGCTGGGCAGCAAGTGGCCTCTTTGGTCCTTGCACTTGGATTAGATGTGAGTGGCCTCTCTGCATTCTCATCCCCAACCATCTTCTTCACTTTCCACACCAGAACGAATTTCCTCCTTAATTATTGAGGATGAAGGGTCAAGGAGCTCTGGACTGGAGCAGGAGAGTTGGCTTAGCAGTTAGGAGCACTTGCTGCCCTGGCAGGGGTCCTGGGTTCAGTTCCCAGCACCCATCATGTTGCATGGCTTATGACCACCTGTATCTGTCTCCAGGCAGCCAGATATTAGGCAGCTTCACTCATGGCTACAAAGGAACACCTCACATGTACATAATTAAACATTAAAATCATGTTTGCTCATGTTCCTTCTGCTGAAGACTGACTCCTTTTGCTTTGCTGGCTGTTATTGCCTCTACAACTGCATCTTCTCAGTGTCAGGTTCCTCAGCCCAGGTCTGAAAACCTGCAACACTGCAAGGAATCCTAAGCCTCATCCTGTATGGAGCTTGTGGCCCCTGGGAAAAGACCACAGACTCACCCAAGTATAATGAGATTTATTGATTAGCAAAATGAATACTATCTATGCCAAATTTGAGATTGCTATGAAGGAGAGGTGTGGGGAAAGACTTTTAAAGGGGGGAAACACATGAAGACCTTCAATATCTGTGCAAGCAAGCAAAAACTTTTTTTTTTTTTTGATAAGTGGTTAAGGCAACTCAAAACAACCATTGGGTATCTGTGTAAGCAAGTTACAGAGGAAAAAAAGAGCTTGTACATTTCTGGATGGGTGGTGGGGGCGTGTCACTGAGTTCAGGGTTACTGGGAACTTATCTTCCAGGGACCGGATTCAGAGACAAATGGATGGAGAGTACCAAGACGGGTGCCTAACATGAAATGGAGCTTCATTGGTCATAATGTAACCTCTCAAGGTTTCTTCTACTGCAGTCAAGCTATCAAACAACACAAGACTTTTTTCAGCAGACAGTCCCAGCAACCCTTTCTGTTTATCATTTCCATGTGATGTCGTCACTTTGTCAGAGCCACAGCAGGGAATTCACCTGGAACTCTTTCCTCAGATTTTCCCATCTAGTTCTTTCTGGCTAAACACTGTTCAATGGAGGCATTAGTGCACAGACAGGGACACCAAGCAACCCAGGGACCAGATGTTTTATTTCTCATAATAATAACATAAGGCTCATTTGTTCAGAAGCCACGTAATAAGACGTGCCAACAGATGTTGAAAACTCAAATCATGTGTGAATATTCTAGCGCACCCAGATGTTTTGCTTTGGTGTTGATTGCTTTCAGTTCCTGGCACAGTGTGAGCAGCTTCCTTGGTTGACCCTCTTTCGCGCCAGTGTGAACTGAGTCATCACTCCATGAACAAACTCCTCATCTAGGTATTACCTGTCTTTATTTCTTTTATAATCACACTAGTGTAAGGAGTAAGGTTTTTCCCTGCCAGCCTGGACCCACTGCGGCACCAGACCCAAATAACACACAGAGACTCTGTATTTGATACAACGCTGTTGGCCAGTTACTGGTTTCTTATCGGCTAGCTCTGTCTTAAGTATTAACCCATTTCTATTAATCTAAGTATTTCCACATGGTCTTATCTTACCGGAGAGTGGGCCCAGACCTCTGTTCTCCCCAGTGTCTACATGCCGACTCCTCCTTACTACTTCCTCAAATCCTCCTTGTCTCCTAGTCCCACCTATCTTGCTTTTCTATTGGCCAACAGTACTTTATTCATTAACCAGTATGAGAAACATATTTACAGAATGACTTCTCTCATCACACAAGTCAGGTCAATACTGTGCCAATAGTTCATTACATTGTACAGGGCTGTGGTGGTTCGAGTGAAAGTGCTTACCATATGTTCATGTATCTGCACATTTGACCTAGGTTGGTGGCACTGCTTAAGGCAGCTATGGGGCCTTTAAGAGGAAGTACATCACAGGAAGCAAGCTTTGAGATTCTATAGCTTCATCTCACAATTCGTTCTGTTTGGTTCCTGCATGTTGACAGAAATGTGATCAGCGGTTTCCTGCTCCAGCTATCTGTTGCCATGCCTTCCCACCATATTGGGCTTTCTTTTGCAACCACAAGCCAAAAATAGTAAGTTGCTTTTGGTCATGCCATTTTAGTACAGCAACAGAAAAGTAAGTAGTGCAAGAACTGTGGTGTTTGCATCGATAATGCCATCATAGTCATGGGTGATGTTGGATGCTTCAGCTTATGGAGAAAATTCTCCTCAGAAACAACTACATTTCAGATTCCACCTTGAAGCCACAGTTAATCATGTTCTTTCCAACCCAGCATCCTGCCATTGGTCTTTCTCTGGATCTTCTGCCAATGGTCATTGGAGCTCGTGCCAGTGCTGTGGAGACTTATAGTCCTCTTCATTAAGGTGGCATGGCAAACCACCATGGCTGAACCACCACCATCCTACCATATTCCCAACC